TTTTTTTTTTTTTTTTTTTTTTTTTTTGAGAGGTTTTTGCTGTAGGGCACATGCACTCACCAGACAGACAGAGACAGAGAGACCGAAAGCGAGAAATCACTCCCCAGGGGGAGATGGCCACACCACAATCCCTTCTCCGTTCTCCTCTCAGGATCTTGGGCACGCACGCACATGCGCCCGGTGTGAGTTTTAAGCCACCGGGTCCGGGACGCAAACTGCAGTCGACTACATGGGAGTCCAGCGACATAGCCATTACGCTAACTGCTGGTTCCTGTGTACTCATTTTAAAGTTCAAGCTTAGAACGTCTAGTCTGGTGTGTCTCTCAGTGTACAGGAAAGCCTCTGCATGTTCCTTTTGTTTTTTCGTGACATCTGTAGGACTTGCTGTATGGGAAATTTAATCTGGAGTAACCTCCTTGGTAGATTTTGCTTCTTTCAGACCGTAGAAGAATTCTTCAGAATTACGAAGGGACTTCAGTAAGTTCACCAAGAACCAGAAATAAGAGTTTATTTCAGTACCAGAAAAGATGGTCAAAATCCATGCACATACATGCATTTTCCACGAACGTTTTGAAGATCCCATGCATTTTTCAGGAAATCTTGGTATTTACTCTTCCTTAGGAGACTCTCCTGTGATTCTGCAGGACCCCTCATGGCCCATTCTGTCCAGGAGGCTCCTGGGCTCCTCGTTCGATTCATTAGCCACCGACACTCAGCGTGCTCGGAACACTATCCCTGGCAGTGCTACGTGACGTTCAGAGAACTTTCCCATGAATAGCCTTGTTTTATCCTTGGGAAGGGTCTCCAGTTGGGCAGGCTTAGTTTTATTCAAGAGGAAACGGACATGCAGTGGCTCAGTGTTTATTCCATAACACCCACCCACCATTTATTTTTCTTTCTTTCTTTCTTGAGGGTTTTTTATTTTTTTTGCTATAGGGTGTGTGCACTCGCCAGAAAGACAGAGACAGAGAGACATAAAGGTAGGAGTCACCCCCTACCCCCGGGGGGGATGGCCAAGCCACAATCCCTTCTCCTCCATTCTCCTCTTGGGATCTTGGACACACACGCACACACGCCTGGAGTGAGTTTAAGCCACCAGATCAGGGACTCGAACTGCATTTGACTACATGGGAGTCCAACGATGTAGCCATTATGCCATCTGTTGGTCCCCCACCATTTATTTTAAGAGAAAGATTTTTGCTATAAGGCAAAAATAGAAAGGGAGAAATCACCCCCTCCTCCAGGGAGGATGGCCATGCTGCAGTCCCTTCTCCTCCATTCTCTTCTCGGGATCTTGGGCATGCACGCACACACGCCTGGTGTTAGTCTTAAGCCACCAGGTCCAAGACTCGATACGTGGGAGTCCAGCAATGTAACCATTAAACCGTTTGCTCATCCTGCAACTCACAGTTTCTAAGATCCATTGAACCATAGACTGAGACAAAGATTATGTCTTTTTTAAATTTTTAGTTATACATTTTAGAAAAAAATATCCTTTGAACTTGGCAGTGGGTAACACAAGTTATTATAAAATTGGAAGAACTGGGTCAGTCAGTTGATGTTGTGGGTAACGTACCTGGGTCCCACATGGCCGACTGTGTGGTAGAGTTCCTGACCCAGTGGTTAGGGAAACATTTCGGGCTCATATGCATAGGTGCCCTGAATCCTGAGTGGAGAATAGAGGAGAAGGGATTGCAGTATGGTCACCCCTGGGGAGTGCTTTCTCATTTTCCCTCTCTGTCTCTTTCTGTCTTAGTCTCCAGCAAGTCCATGTGCTCTATAACAAAGTTTAAAAAAAGAATCGAAAGAACCAAAATATCGAGCAGAGCTTCTAGAAATTTTTATAGCATAGTTGCATCCGAGTGCCACTTTAATTCTCTATTTTCTTCTGTCGTTCTTGTGCTTAATGTAAATTAAGTTTGCTGAATGTCTCTTCATTGAACGGGCATTAACTATTTTTTTAGATTTTTTTTTTTTGGGGGGGGGCTATAGGACACGTATGCTCGCCAGAGAGACAGGAAACAAAAGCAAGAAATCACTCACCAGAGGGATGGCCACACTGCCGTCCCTCTTGGGATTTTGGGCACATACGCACACACACCTGGAGTGTGTTTTAAGCTGCCAGGTCCGGGACTTGAACCATGGTTGACTATGTGGGAATCCAGCGACATAACATTATACCATCTGCTGGTCCCAAGGACATTAACTCTTTTCTTTTTTGAGAGGTTTTTGCCATATGGCGTGTGCACTCGCCTGACAGACAGAGAGAGACAGCGAGACAGAAAACGAGAAATCACCCCCCAGAGGGGATGGCCACACCACAATCCCTTCTTCTCCATTCTCCTCTTGGGATCTTGGGCACGCACGCATATGCACCCGGCATGAGTTTTAAGCCACCGGGTCCGGGACTCGAACTGTGGTCGACTACATCGGAGTCCAGCAACATAGCCATTACGCTAACTGCTGGTCCCAACATTAACTCTTAATATAGGACCCTGTGGAGCAGGATTTTCAAACCAATGTCTTGGGTCCCTGAAAGAGTCTGAAGAGAGTATTTAGGGGTTCCATGACTGTATAAAAAAAAAAGATTAAATCTTTATTTTCATTAACTTCCATTGAAATGTAGTATTTTCTTTTAGTATGAACATAGATAACAAAGCAGCGGTGGGCCTGTAAGTTTGTCACCAGCCCAACTACATATAAACACATTTATGTCATGCTACAGTGGAAAAACTTGGAAATGCTGTTTTTACTCATTACTGCTTCGAAATGACATTTGTTATGAAGACATGCTGACAGAGCTGTCATTTAATGTATTAATAAATGAAGAAAGACATCCTTGTGTCACAGACGACTTTTTTTGCTCTCGTCACAGACTTTTTTAAAAGTTTACTGTGTTATAATTATTTTCCTCTGTCATCCTTTGTATTTTCTTTTATGTCTTCAAAGCTTTCTTATGAGGAAGATCTGTGAGCCTTACTCCACTGGCAGGCGGGTCAGGGAGGGCAGAGGTTAGAAGGCCGGCTCTGTGCATGGTGTCCTTTTGGGGTGCATGTGTGTGTTTATATGTGTACCCCAGGAGATGCCCTGACTCTGCTGTGACTCACCGGAGTGCTCAGTCACTCGTGAGAGGTGTGGAAGACAGCATTGCCTCTTGTTTCATTCTAGATTTCTTCTCTGCAGGAACTAGGGCAATGGTTCCCTGTTACGTGGGTGTGAGTCGGGGTTCTGATAGGCTCCCTCAGTGAGAATCCCTATATGAGAGGGCACTCTTTGCTCACAGATTAGACCACAGATTCCTGGCCATCTGGAAGTGAGATAAAACTCAACACCCTTTCTTATTGATCATCTCCCTCTGAGTGTAGAGATGCCCTTTCATCCTCGCCTGGTGCCCTAAGAGGCAAGAATGCCTTGCCTTTACCAGTTGAGAGGGCGACCTTTTCAGAAGTCTCGACACTGCCCCACTCAAGTGGATTTCTAATTCCTTATGAGCCTCAGAAATAGAAATTGAAAATGACCTATGAAACAGACGCATCCACAAATATGAAATATTTGGGTTTAGACAGTTGCATGGGGAGAAAGAATTTGCTCCTATTGTGCGTCAACCTTGAGGTCTCACTGTGTGCCAGCCCTGGTTTTAGGGCTTTGCGTATCTCATCTCATCCTCACAGTGGCTTCTGAATTAAATACTCGTGCCACCCCGTTCTGCAGACGAGGACACTGAGGCTTAGGAAGTTAGGAAGCTACTTCAAAGTCACTCAGCTAGCAAGGTGGCGTGCCGAGAATCAAACCGG